AATATGGCCTAATTTTTTTTCTTTTCAGCTGTGATAAAGGCGAAACAAGTAGGTATAAACTCTTATTATTTGGTCTTTGAGGAACCTGGTGGTGAGTTGTCATATATTACCCCCGCTGGAGGAGGTCAGCAAGTCACTGTCCAAGTGAGTCATTCTTGAATGAAAGTTTTTCCTTCGTACTGTTAGAGGAGTGCCCTATTATTAGAAACACTATGAGGGTGACATTTCCTTAATAGTACATGGTGGTGTGCAGGTGAACCAGCGGTAGTTTTGGGGGGAAAGGCGTCAAATAGAGGCCACTGCAGTCTACGTGTACTTCCCGAACGGCTTAGTTGCGAGGATGTTCCTCAGTTAATAGAAATAACGGTTACTGCGATAGCTTTTCGGAGAAAAAAAATATATAACCAAAAAAAAGAAGAATATGAAGCTTTCTGGAGCGTCTTTTTCAGAATAGTTTCATGGCAGTGACGTAAAGACAATTAACTCGTGTCTGGTAGTCGACTCCTCTTGGTGCACCGAAACCGAAGGTTTCAGGTCTTAATCGTTTTTAAAGAAACATGAAATTTTTCTTATGCTAAGCAACATACTTCTCTCAAAAGGAACCATTACAGTGATATTGTAAACTTTTTAGCTTAAAATGGGAGTCCGAAACCATTTTTAACTTTCTTACTGAAATGTCATCAGTCTCTTCTGCCCATCCCGCCCCAAACGGGTAGCAAGACTGCAACTGATGTGATAAAAGTTAAGCTAAAGCTTCACTTCCTGGAGTTAACAGGGAGCTTTAGCATCGACTACGGCAACTGCAGCGAAAACGTCAGTTTTAAAATGAATTCCCGTTTTTTCGATCTTTGTCGCGTTTATTGCAATTTGATGAAAATGGCAAGTGTGGGAGAATTTCCCTGGAGCTGATTTCTTAAGGACCGCACTCAAGTGTAGAGAGAGAAAAAGAGATTCGTCCTCGCTTGTTTACGTCCTCCACAAAACTTGCAATTAGGCATTTTTTCGTCGTAGTCGTGCAAGGACGGTAAAAAAATGTACAGAAAAGCGTGATGGACGTGCAAAGTTGTTGTTTTGCGTAATAAACCTATTGCTTTTTTGACGTCCTCTTTGCCGTCGCCGTCGTCGTTGCTAAAGCTCCCTAATATCTATTGAAGACGCTAAAGTGACTAGTCTATCCCAAAGTTCCAAATTCAAAATTGTGGCCGGTTGGATTTGAAATGAACATCATAACGAGTGCCGAGGGGTCTTTGTTCCTTCTGTCAATGCACGGTAAAGATGTGAAAATGTCTAATTTTCCTTTTTTGGAGGACAAAAAAATTTTTTGTCTTCTTCTGAACCTAGATGTATGGTTCTTTGGAATAATCGCAATGAAGATTGGAAAATAGGGGGACGAAGTCAGATATGAAGCGACTTTTTTCGCCGACTTCGTCCTATAGGGTTAAGAGAGACCTTCGATCCGACAACGGCGACGCCAATGAACGTCGCTGAAAAACAGACTTCGCGTCCTTTCAAATTTGATTGCCCTATACCAAGTCACCCACTTACTTGAAACTAGGGAAGTTAGTTTGGAACTGAAGAGAATGGACCGCGTCCGAGCGAGTTCAGAGAGAAACAGTAAGATTTATCGCCCTGCCGTTCCCGTTCTCAAGTCAACTCAAAATTTTACCTTATTGTAGGAAATTAACGCTCCATGAAATTAACGCGAATCGTTAAAATTCGCGTTAATTTAAGTCGCGTTAATTTTGTTGAGCGTTAATTTCCGCGACGTTAATTAAGTGCAGCGTTAATTTCCGCGTTCTTAATTTCCAGTATTTTAACCCCATTTTGGAACCTGTCCAGACATTCTTGACACCTAAAAAACATTAACTACAAGCTTTCTTTCCATTTACTATTTATTTTTTCATCTTTCACAAAAGCTAAGGCGAAAGTTTACAATATTCGAGTTCATCTTCATCGTTGTCGCTGTCAGAAGTGATGTCAGTATCTTCTCCTTCGATTTCGCGTAATTAATCGCGTTAATTTCTTTTATTATGAAATTTTACCTCCTCCCTCGCGTTAATTTTCTTTATTCGAAAGTCGTTTCCCACTAAATTCGCGTTAATTTAAGTCGCGTTAATTTCCAATACCTTAATTTCATGGAGCGTTAATTTCCTATAATAAGGTAGTCATTTGACGCCGTAGTTGTGCAGGGGCAGCAAAGAAATGTAAAAAAAGAAGAAAAAAAAAGCGTGATGCCCATGCAGAGTTGTTGATTTACCTATTGTGTTTTTGACGTTCTCGTTGCCGTCACCGTCGCAATCTCGTAAGGTCCCTAAGTACTATGGCAACAACGACGGCGACAGCTGCGAAAACGTCACTTAAAAAAGTGAAGTCGTGCTGCTTCAAAGCTATGACGTACCTTTATCATCTTGTTCAATTCGTCAATGTTGGCAATTTTTTGTGCAGCTGATTTCTAAAAGACTAAAGAGAGTCGTTGTGTTGGGTTCCCGTCCTCTACAGTACGTGAATGAAGGCATTTTCACGTCGTAGTCGTGCAGTGACAGCAAAAATATGTACAAAAATTCTCTCTTGTGCACGTGCAGAGTTGTTGTTTTGCCTATTCGATCTATTTCTATTTAACCGTTCACGTTGACGTCGCCGTCGTCGTTGCTTAAGCTTCCGGCCTTAAGCTGACCACTGGTCCTCGAGGAAGATTGGATATGGGTGTACAGCCAGTGCAACGGCCTCAATGGCCCTGGCCCCGTTGAACATTGAAGTTAGAGGGGGACATTGGGGTTTAAGGTGTCGAGCGATTTTTTTTCAAGCGGTAATGTCTTGTATTTTGGTATCAACTAGACAGTTTTTCATCCCTTTGGCTGACAGTATTATGTATATTCGGTGTATTCGGTAAGATCCTACACGGTATTGCGTCTAATACAGGTCAATCCATACTGAATACAATATGCACCACAAAATAAAGTAAGCAATAGCTTGTCTTCTCACGTTTTTTGTAATGGATGAGGTTGTTTTCTGGAACAAACATGCTTGAGATAAACAAACACGCCTGATGGATACAATTTAAGTGAGCCTGACCGATCACAATTGCGATATCGATTTCTTCGTCGATTTCGACTTGTTATTTCTGTCATTACCAATTTTTCTTACTGTATTACGGTATTGGATATCCCCAATGTCCCACTCAAGGGAAACTCCGTTCATTTAACTACGTACCTTTTTAACCCTCGGACGTACAAGCAAATTCATACCCCCACGGTGGTTACAGGGGGGGGGGAGGGTGGATGGAACCCCCTCCCAGGAGTTTTTGATATGTTGCAGTATTTTTTTAACGATTTTACCTTTATTGGAAAGCCCTTGGTCTTCTCTACAAGATGAGGTATATTTTATGGGTAGTGGCGCTGCTGGGGGCCTGTGACGTCACCAACAATGGTCGCCATCTTGGCCGCCATCTTGGATTTTACCAAGAATTAGAAATCAGGTTAGAACCGCAAGAAATGGGTATTTTTTGTGCTTGGGATGAAAAATAACACATAAATAAGCACTTTGCATGATTTACTTTTATTGTTGAAAAAAGTTGGAAAACCATATACTTTCAGTCAAAAATGGCTTGACTACCTCCTACTTATCATAACTCGTAACCATAAAAACGGATCATCACCGAACTTGAATCAAAATGTATGCGAGGGATGAATGAACCCGGGGGTCAGAAAAGCCTTTATGGGTAGGCACCACCCCCTTCCCACTTTGTACGTCCGAGGGTTAAAAGCCCCTTCCTATTTGTAATCTATTTTTTCATTGTTCCTGCAGCCAAGTCCATCTGACGAGGCAAAATTTGAGCCCGACTATTACTGGGGTCATACAGTGTTCAAGAGCAGTCATTACAACAGGTTGTACCTTGGATGTGACGAGAACAAAATGGCAACACTTGTACACATGAAAATAACGGATTATCCAAATCCACAGGCTATGTTCATTGTAAATGAATTTAATGTAGTCTTGCTTCCAGATTGTAACTGATCAAGAACATTTACATGAAAAGCTTGTCGAATGATTACGATGACCAGAACTCTTTTGTCAGTGATTTTGGAAGTGACGTCAGTAAACAAATAAATGAAATTTAAACCTTTTAACACATTGGACATCATAGCCAAGTTATTTTATATAAAGGTGTGGTTCCGGATGTATTCCCAATAAAATAAACTGTTGATTCCCGAGATTACAAACATCGCCCATTAATTTGTATTTCACCTCTGTTCAGACGAATGCTAAAAGTGCAAAGAAAAATTTGTAAAAACATACTACATGAGAAATTTCTGCAATTTGATTGGCTTGGAGCAGTGGTATTTCAGCTTAATTAAATAAATACCGACGTGTGAAAATTACAAACCTTTTGTGGTAGTAGTATAAACAAATAAGAGCAGGATTTGTAAGTGATATTTGGCATAAATACCACTCGTGATATTCAAAATTGTCTCAAATTTCACTCGCTTAACGGTTCGTGAAATTACTATAACAATTTTTAAAATTTAATATCACTCGTGGTATTTATCAGGGGCACCCAACGTCAATTTTCGGAAAACATCTTTTCGGAAGACGATTTGGGATCTAGAATTTTCGGAACATTTGTTGAAAAATTTCTTGCTTGCCTGCCTCTCTTAGGATTTTCGAACATCTAAAGATTATAATTGCCCATTTTAACGGATTTTTATCCTAAAAAGGTCACATTTTCGAAAAGGTGATTTTGATAGCTATAATTTTCGGATCACTAGACTAGGAAATCCGAAGAGATAAAAAGTTTTAGGGGATGAAAATATGCCTATATCTACCGTTTAAATACAAAATACGTTCAGCAATGCTATGTTTAAGTGGTTTTGAACTATATTCTCGTTGGGTGCCCCTGATCATGATTTATGCCAAATATCACTTCAAATCGTGCTACTACCTATACTAATTGTGTACATGTTGCAGTTAATTTTTTTTTTTATCTCTGTCAGTTAATTGTTGTTTTTGCTTTGTTTCAAATTTATTAGCATATGTTACCATACCCCAAAACAATGGCAAAAATAAAAATTGACTGAGATAAGAAAAAAAGTACAACATACATAAAATTACACAAAATTAAAAGTAAACTTATTCGACAACTCCGTGACATATCGTTGAATTTTTTTGGAAGACGGAGATTTTCTTTTTTACTGCTTACTCCCTAAAATGGCCTATACGGGGAGGCTCCGTACGAAAGAGGTATCTCTTTCAGGCTTCGGGTATGTGAAAGGGTAAGGAAATCTGTCATTTGGGTCTTTGAATGGGCCTAAAGGGCTAACAGATGAATTTTATGGCTTTACACAGTCGAGAAAACGTTCTATTTTAATTTGTGATTGATTCCTATTTAAATGACATTGCATTTACAGCAGTTAAAAGGGACCCAAAGTTCTAAACGAGGTATATGAAAGGGGTACCTTTTTCGTGAAAAATGGTACATAAAAGGGTAAGGGGTTGGACCTCGGGGCGGAGCCTTCTCGTATACAAATTTGTTGAGTATCCCCCCACCACTGATCTTTTTACTTCTAGAGTGGATACTTTTGAAAACGCGGCCGGTTTTGTTCTGCTCATCGCGTAGATGGATGTGAAAAGAGGCAATTTGAAAACGATTACTCTCCAGTGCCGGATCCAATCTATATCACGTGCGAACATCTCGCGAATTCGGATTCCACTATAAACGCGCATGCTTCCATCAACTGATCAAAGGTCGTAACATTTCCTGGCATTTTTGCGTTTTCTTCCTAGTGGAAATGCAAAAGTTACTAAAATGAGTGGATACGATTGCTTTTTTTTCTTCACTTTGAAAACGAAGAAAAAAAGTTCCGGTTTTCAAACTAAACTAGATACGTTTGGACAGCCCCTAAAAACTTACGACCGTTTTCTGAGATGGAGTACTCTTCTTGCAACACAAACATGAACAAAAAGAGGAACAACAACAGCAACGACAACGGCCGGAAAACAATGATGAGTTTCCTGATACCGACTAAAGAAATATTGCTGTTTTACAAAAACCTTACGTAAAGGCAGCCTAGGTTATACTTGGTTTAATACTATAAATCACGGCATTACGAGTCGTTCATAAATTGCAACGTTTGCGTGGTGCTTTAATTTGCATTAGACACAAACAAGACGAAATCACGAGGCCCTCGGCTTTTTTTATGGTAGTTTGGCAAGTTCTCTGCTACTGTGTTAAACCTTCCGCATGCAAGATAATTTACATGTAAATCAATGAATTTGCGTGGAAAGCATGTATCAAGCAAGTAAAAGCACGACAACAGGTAACTGTCAAGGAGGAGGGAAAATTATTCTTTGCGAAGCTTGGACAACGAGAGATTGAGTCTAAGAGATTAAAAACGAACCAGGGTTCCTGTTTACCGACTCAAACTATAATAGAACGGTTCAGTCTCTAAACATTATTCCTGGGTCACTCTGGACGACTTGGGAACGAGAACGATGAAGACTACGAAGGTTGAACTAGTGTGAACAAGCGGATGAAAGGTTTTGTGCAGATGAAAACAAAGCTCTTCTTTTCTTCACAGGCTGCAGGGAAGCACAATTTAAAGTTCTGGCGATTCCATGTAACCCATTCAACTGTCGTTTGCGAAAGGATTTTTTAACTGCGATTTGATTTGCAATGTTTGAAAATTCTGTAAAGATCAAACTTTTGCGCATACCGGTTTTTACAGGGGAATAATTGTTTAACTAGGGTATCTAAAAGATAGTAATGCTGCGGTACATTCTGTTGATACTGGCATTGAATGTCCTATTTACATGTTGGAAAGTACAAGAATATTTACTATCAGTCTATAGAAAGAACTCGTGGAAACATTGTTTAGAAAACGATCAAGTGGTTATAACTCTGGTTTTCCCACAGTAAATTGTAGGAAATAATAGAAATTCAGATTGTTTATCCATATATTTAATATACGGTGCACGATATTTTCTCTGGAAACACAATACTTTTCTTGCTGTTTGTTGCACTTTATTAAGTAACAGTTATTTAGCTATATATTTATAGAAAACAACAACACAAAAAACGGGAAAAAAAAGAAAGAAGTAATAAAAAATTCGGTAGGACTCGAACCCTGCACCTTCGGCTCGACCCGACAACAACTAACCACTACACCTCAGAGGCCGATTACGTAATCTATAGGAAAAAGTCTTTCATTTTTTTCCTTTTCCATGAAACTTCCGCCGGCAAGATGATCGCCGGCCGCATTAACCGAGCTATTAACAGTGAAAAAACAACGTAAACGCATCTTCCATGGCAATGAATGAATGAAAGAACATAATTATGCTTTTCAGAACGCCGATACACGTCCTCGTCTGCAAAGTAAGACACACAAACATATGTTTTGTTATCTCGATTTCCGCTGTTATTTTGAAGCGAATGGTCAAAATCACATCCATTTTCGGCTCATACAGTTTCTTAAGAATAGCATTGCATGACATTTCCCCCTTTCCCATCACCTTCTAGCAAGCTGGAATTTGTATATCCCCCGTGTTGGGGAGTCGAAGAGCAAATGCTCATCCTCTCGTCAGGTTTAACACCTGGACGAGTCACAGGCTCTTGAATTGAAATCCAATCCCCAATTTAACCATCGTACTCATCTGAAAGACTCCTGCGTGTCTTAAAATTTGGTAAGACCTCTAACCGTGCTGTAGAAAATTTGCCACAAAGAAAACTCTAAGTATGAGCAGCGAATGATTCACTCTCTCACCCACCGAACTTCTCAGTGTTTTTATTTGAGTTGTTCGTGGCGCAATGCACTCTGGTTAAGTGCAATGCATTGTGGTAAAAAGTGTGGTTAAATGCAATGCATTGTGGTAAAAAGTGATGAATTGGAGAATTCGTCGCCCCTATATATTTCCTTTAAATCCTGATTATGTTGCTGCTCGCTCCCTTCGGTCGCTCCGCAGCAATTAGCAATTAGGTCATAAATATCGAGACAAAACAACTTTAGCTAGCAAAACGCGATTCAGCCGCCATTGATTTGGTTTTCAAAGCCGGCGCTTTTCGCTACTAGTGGGCTATAAATATAGCTTAGTAATAGCTCAACCAATCAGAACGCAGCATTGATAAAAGACCACTAGTTGGATTTTACCAGTAAGTATGAGGTACACTTTATTTCTCTGCGTAGATTTCAACCATATATATCTGGATCATCATATCCTCCTAATTCTCGCTCCACATATTATTTCTACTGGAGTTACACCTTTTCTAGTACACGTTGGACAACACAAAATTCTTGGAATGGATAGCACTGGCAGGGCTATATGTTAGTGGATGGGATGCAGGTCTCTGAGTATCCAAACCCTCAAGCGCAGTTTATCCTCAACGAAATTTAAAATGTAGAGTGCTGGATCGCACTTGCTTCTTTTGTACATTTAATAGGGAAGGGAAGTGAGGACGTTAAAAATTAAAGTTGTGAAATTTTGTGATTGGATAGCATATCCAGAAGAAAACAAAGTGAAAAATGTTCACTTGCTAAAAATCAGTCTGTTAGACGTGCAAATGTTTGGGGAGATATAAGCACCGTTATGCTCACATGACTCCGTTATATCCTTCTAAAATAGAACTCGATCTTAAACGTTAAGATCTAAACCAGTTTTAAAACGATTTGTATGGAGTCATCACATCAGCCTGCTCGCCTATTTGCACCATATGTACAAGATAAACAGGTTGATTTTTGGCAAGCCGGACTTTTGTCATCTTGTTTTTTTCTGAATATACCAGCTATTCTTCTGTTTTCTTAAAATTGAATTCTTTTTGACGTCACATGAAGTCGTATTAATTAAACCTCGTTATTATTGCTACTACATTTTTACTTGCTATGATAAATTTTCACCCTGACAGGTGAACATAGCAACAGATCAAACAATAATAGTTGCATTGCATTTACTGCCTTTTTACATGTGCATTACTTTAAGTGAAGAATGATTATCACGGCAAGAGATATCAACAGTTCTTCTTTCTATTGATTTGTACCTGTGACTCAAATATCGCGACTCCTGATTGGTTATATAAGGGAAATGAATAATAAATGCATGTCGGTGAGTTTGACTTTTAGTAAAGTTACGATTGGTTTTACCGGTTAGACAATTGAGAGTGTAGACGAGTGATAAGCAATTTTAAGACAACCGAGATGAATGGATTAGTTGTTAAGGGTATTTAAGAGCCAGTCTCTGTAAGATCCTCATGTCGAGTTTTGCCCACAA